ACCCTAATAAAATGATTGCTTAGTATAGGTGCTAATATAGATGACAGGTTAATGGCTAAAAAGTCACTGCTAGTTCAGGCTAAGAGTTGATCATTATTACTTATGCTTTTCTGCAAAAAGAAAGTGTCAGCCAGATCCACTACATTAAGCTATGCATAATCCTTGGTGTCATTTATTTTGGTTTTCGACGGGTAAGTCTAGCTGAGTACATTCCTGTACTCAGGGTTTATTCCCTCTTGTTGCAGATGACCTTCTTTATCAGGGATTCTGTAAGTATTGTCTCCACCCGGCGGGTGATGAAGACTAGATCATGGGCATGATCTCTGTTCTCTTATCTGAATGCTTTTGCGGGCTGTGATCAGCGAACCAGTATGTGTATTTGAACTCGGGTGTGTGAGTTAAACTATTTGCTTCCGCATGTTTTACAAGACTTGTTTTGTAATAACGATGACTCTATGATGATGTAATCTATTTGTGAACGTCTGTGAAATGTTGTAACGTACGATATGTTATGTTGAATTATTGTGATCTTGGTTGCATGCAAGTTGGTTTGAAATCCTTCGAGATTTCAGTTGACTACCGGGTTTATATGGGCTCAAGTTCGAGAATTTGATCGTTTCGGCGATTGTTTTTGTACTTGTGCTCTTATAAATTGGTCGGTTCTGTGACAGCTGGCATCAGAGCTAGATTCAACATTAAACATGTCTTAACGGCTATTTAAAACAAAAGCTTTTGTTGTAAAAACGGTTTTCCAACTTATAGTTATATATAAGTGTTCAAAAATCAAAAAAATTATGGTATACTGGTGATCACATCCTTTATAGCCCACTTAAGGACTTCTAGGTGGCTTATATATAATTACTAACTTGGGGGAATTGATTGTTTCTATTTCGTCGTCCATGCGGCGTGATATTGCATGGGTGCCATTCGTTTGAATGGTAATGTATGGATCAATTGCCTCAACGCTAAGGTAAGTGTGAGTTGTGAGAGCATGACCGTCCAACCGTCGGTCTAGGGGAGAGCTAGTTGTGGTTACTGGAGTATTTACATGTTGCATACATGTATATATGAAGGTACTTAATTGTGGGTACATTTGTCGGGTAGTTTGGATATCGATGTATATATATCGGGGGATGTATATATGGAGAGTATCTTAGTTACTGCTTGTGTAATTAGCATTATATCTTGTTGGATTGGGCTGCAATGAAGTTTTCTGCAGGTACGCTAACAACGCACCGTGTAGATCGACTAGTTACCGCTAATTGAGAGAACATATGTATGCCACCGTATATCCCGCTAAAGCTTAAATTTTCATAGGTTTGTGAGGACGTACAGAACGCGCATGCATCATATTCACTCATGTCATTCATATTGCATTACCCCTCCCTTATAATTGCTTATCCCAAGTGTAAAGTGCAATCTCTCAGCAAAATAATCCTCTCACATGAATTGCATCCCTTTTGATACAGATGGACGCGCTCGTGTTTCCTACTGGTAGCAGCACCTTTTTGGACCAGTTCGGTACTCCCACCTTGCTCTGGAGGGTGCTCAGTTCAGTTGGGTACCCGGAGGCACCCAGCTACACGTGGAGGCAGGCGGTACCATTGGGAGATGTACCATGGTACATCATGGCCTTCATTGTGCCACAAAACCCCACAAGACCATTGTGGCATGGGTGGAGCATTGAGACTGATGGGCAAAGCCCATGGGAAGCCGCTCAGGTTGCTGCCCTTTATGTGCTGATGGATATAGCACAGAGCTTCGGGGATGAGTTAGTGGGTGGACCTGCTTCATCCATTCCCCGAGTGTCTCCTACTGAGGCTGAGTGGACTCAGGACGTTGGTCAGACCTTGGTTTGAGGCCATGGCGAACGGGTGCAGAGCGATAACGCTGGAATGAGTGCTATGATGGCAGTCTTGAAGCTTTGTCGAGTCAGGCAAAACACCCTTTCCCGTGTGCTTGATGAAGCTGGCAAGGCAATGGAAGCTCAGCACAAGTTCAGGTTGCGTGCCCGCAAGTATCGCCGTAAGGCGAATGCATGTGGGAGAGCTCAGCAAGAAGTTGATGAGATTCGTGGTATTGCAAATTATCGCTTGCAACAGTGGGGTCAAACCGCATGCGAGAGAGACGAGCTTCATAACCAGCTGATGAACCTCACTATTGAGAGAGATGAGGCTACACAAGAGTTGGATCGTGTGACACGTCACCGGGATGCAGCTTTAGAGTTAGCAGAAGAAAGACGTCGGGGTTGGATTTTGGCCAACCACAACGCCTTTCAAAGGGAGCAAGCACTACAAGAACAGCTTGAAGAGCTTCAGGTTGAGCACCATCAACTGCACAACCGTCTGTTCCCTATTCCTCGCCCCATACCAAGGTATCCAAATGTGGGTGGACCTCAAGTGATTGAGGCCGATGAGGAAGAAGAGGACGTGCAGATGGTTGACAATGCAGCTGAACCAGCAGATGAAGAAGAAGAAGAAGAGGAAGACCCAGAAGAAGTCCAAGGTGTCTCCGATGTGGACAGCGATCACTTCGACGAGTAGTTCGTTAGCAATTCTCGCTAGTTTAAGCTTTTGCATTCATTGATGTAATGGACTTAAGTACGATGACTGATGTTGGATGTACTCTTTTAATTCGAACTCGGCATGTAATGTACTTTAATTCGCTCCCTTCGGGATGCGTATCGTAATGGTTAAGTTTAAAACTTGTCATGTTGGAATGCACTGCGTATGGCGCTAGTAATCTACTTGATGATGTGGTGATTAGAGAATGAATTATTGCCTCTGTTTATTGTATAAAGTTTTCATTCTCGTCAGTAAATTCAGTTTGGCACAATTACATTGTTCCTCTCCAATGTGCTGACATCATCAATAATTATTGGTTGCGCATTGTGCAGATGCCTCGTACTCGTTTCGCCGGTGCGGGTGATGATGATGATGATGTTCCACCGCCACCACCACCCACACCAACGGAATTGATAGCAATGCTTGCGGAAGGACAGCGCACTATGGCTGAGGCCCTCTGTACGATTGTGAATCGGGATGGTCGTGGTCCACACCAAGGACCGGAACCAAATCAATACAGTGATTTCAAGGATTTCCTTGACACGAAAACCCCGATCTTCAAGGAGGCTGAGGAGCCTCTACAAGCTGATGAGTGGTTAAATACTCTCGAGCAGAAGTTTTGTCTGCTCCGCTTGACTGAGGTGCTGAAGACTGAGTATGCATCTCACCAACTGCATGGGCCAGCTGGCATTTGGTGGAGTCATCATTGGTCCACTATGCCCGCTAATGCCCAAATCACCTGGGATCAGTTCAAGTCTGCTTTCAGGGGAAATTATATTCCTCCTAGTCTCATGGCGATCAAGCATACAGTGTTCATGAAGTTAACCCAGGGGAACAAGAGCTTGAATGAATACCTGCAGGCTTTCAATAACCTTGCAAGGTATGCTACTGAGTTTGTTGACACTGATGCCAAAAAGATTGCAAGTTTCAAGCGGGGACTTAGCCCCAAATTTATGAAGACCATGGGAAATTGCAAGTGTGCTCATTTTAATGAGTTTGTGAGTGATGCTTTATCGCAAGAGAACAACAATGCTGTGTACACTGCTTCAAAAAGTTGTAAGAGAGCCTATGAGACGGGTGCCTCACAATCCAAGGCTCCCGTCACACAGAGGGCCCCATTCCGTCCTCCAGCGTCAGCCGCTAAGTTTCGCCCACCACAGAAGAAGAATCCCGCCAAGACTGGGTTTCGCAAGGCATTTACAGTTGCTCTTTCCAAGGACACTACTAGTCAGGGCAGTTCCAGGGCTCCTCCAAGTAACATGCCGTGCTGGAACTGCAACAAGACAGGCCACTGGGCAAGGGAGTGTCCTTATCCCAAGAAGAATAACTACCAAGGTGGCCGTCAGGGGTAGGTGAACCACACTAATATTACTGAGATTCCTTCAGGAGAGGTAGTAACTGCTGGTAAGTTTCTGATTAATCAACACCCCGCAGTTGTACTATTTGATTCAGGTGCTTCGCATTCCTTTATTAGTCCAGCATTTGCATCCAAGTTTATGCAGAAAACATATACTGTTGAGGGTGAGGGTTATTGTATTAGGGCTGCCAGTGGTATTATCCCAACCAAGCTAGTAGTCACTATAACACAACATACTTTTGCCGACACTTTCTATTATAGGCAAAGGGCACCTTTGCCGATAGATAACCTCCCGCGAAAAGTTTTGCCGACAGTTTAGAAACAGTCGCGCTAGAAGCCATCGGCGAAACTTTTGCCGACAGTTAACAGAATCCCCGACACTTTATGTGTAGGCAAACGGTCTACCTACGCCGACAGTTGAAACCTTTGCCGACAGTTAACCTTTTGCCGACAGTTAAGACCTACGCCAACAGTTAAGACCTTTCCCGACAGTTTATATGTTGGCCAAACCATTTTCAATGTATTTTACAAACCATACCCTGCCAAAAAAAATTGTCAGCAAAACTACATAGATATAATTACAATTAAAATAATTTGACAAATCCACTTTTGCTCATATAGAAGGCATCACATTGAACAAATTCACTTGATTTTTGTATAAATAATATATTAGATCTTCCATACATACACCCTGCTCGTCAATCCTATCTATTTCTAAAATTTGTAATTCTTTACACTGCAACAAAATACAAAGATATTTGGAAAAAAATACCAAGATATTTGCAAGTGTATTGCGTCCACAATAGCAGCATGCCATCTCCAAAGAGAAGAAAATAGGTGGTTTATCTCTCTGCCTCTGCAACTATAAATACACTGACTGGTTTATCTCTCAGCCTCTGCAACTATAAACTCAAGCTTGCGTCATGCAAATGCAAGACTTTGCCACTATATTCCCCAGGCAACTGGGGCCTGTCAACCAAAATATAGAAATATAGAAACGAGCAGCAATGATCAACTTCATCAAAGGTCACCGCCGGCACCGGTTAAGGCGGTCCATAGATGACCATCCTTGGGGCATGCTAATCCTTGTTGCCGTTGGGGGATTCATCCTGCTCACCGATCTTCTGGAACTCAGCCTGGATGACCTCGACGATCTTTGCGTCATCTGGGTCTGGCTCGGGAATGCTGACGTGCAGTGAACCCATCTTGATGAGCTCCCTGCACAACGCTTGCTCTTTGATATGGTCGTAAAGTTCTTTGTGGAAAGGATGGTCAAGGGAGAAGCAGTTGTCGACGTCAGTAGATGAATGCTTTGATGATCCAGAGCCCTCCCGGCGGCAGAAATGGGGAAGTGACGAGTAGTCCATAATCTACAAATGTTAAGCATCACAACTGTTTTACTGAACGAAAAAATGCACGTTCACAAATGCAGATAGTATTGCAACCAGAAATGAAGGATCTAACTGAAAAGACAGCCAACAAGGAAGAATATGTTTCCAGTTATTTACCTTCAGAAGTTCATCTCTCCCGTAGCTAGTCAAAACTTTAACCTTCTTTTTTGTCCTCTCCTGCAACAAGGGCTTCACAACCTAGCAGCATGCTCAAATTAACTGTCATCAGTTTCTACTAAAAACTTACTAAAAAAAAACCTTACGTCTGAATATCAGTGGTAATTGATAGTACCTTCCAACAAGCAGAAAATATGTATGGAACATTGACTACATAATAGGTCTCTGTCTTTTCAGGGTAATTCAGATCATCAATTGTTGATATGGAAGTCAAGATCTGTATATCATATTAAAACTATATTTACAAAATAACATGCCACAATCAATACCCAGAAGCAACACAAGTAATGCACACAGCACACAATTTTTTTAACAAAAATATGGGATAATAAGTGAAAAAAATATTCTCTGAACTTCAGCGTTAACACTCTGCTTGAATGCCATACAGAGCAACAGAGATGAATTGAACAGTGGACAGCTCAAAGTTCAAGGGTTAAGCTATTCCTCTTGAACACAAGAGGTTAGATAAAGCTAATTCTAATATTCTATTATCCCTAGATAATTACTAAAAAGGATTATTGAAGTTATTATTATACATGTTCATACAATAATACTAACTCATTAGTTTATAGTCTAATGGGGATAAAATAGGTTAATAGTCATAGCACGTACCTTTATTTGGCTCAGTGCTGATAGCTTCAAACCAGTCATATCTAGAACTTTTATACATTTGGTAACAGGCTGCCCAAACTGTTGTGTTAGCCTAGGCTAAATGTGGTACAAATAAATGTTAGGACTGGATTCATATGTTTACATAAGTGATCTTAAACTCGGTGCATTTTGGATACTCACCAAAATTATACGATCACGGTACTCATTAATCTGGATATGAGATTGCACATAGTAGTGGACCTGAGACAAAATACCTCTATTTTTAGTTGACACACAGAATTCAGTAGAAAAAAGCATGAGGCCACAAATAAAATGAAGTTAGTTGAATAAGATCACTATTTGTGTCACTAACTACTACAGTCAAAGCTTATATCAACCTCTGAAAGAAAAACTTTTCCGCAACATACAGTAAAAGGCTAAAAGTAGCCAGTTTCATGATTAAGCAGCCTGTAGCTGTATCCTACTAAACAAATAGCAAGCATCAGAGTAATTACCGAAGCTTTGTCATATGTGCTATGTCTCTCTGATGTTGCCCACAGGTGAGAAATATCAAGAAAGACAAACCCAAAGGTGGGAAATTATCACATAAGATCCTACAGTTCTTGCTAACAAAATATTGCCAGGTCAACTGTAGTTATCACAGATCCCAAGTGAAAACATCACCTCTGATCCTACAGATCATGATAACCAAACAATGTCCAGTCAACTGCAGTTATCACAGTTCAAGTACAACTTGTATGACGCCATATCATACTTTGAAACTACAGGCCTTAATAGCCCACTTTGCTGTTAGTAGCACATCATTCCGTGAAAGTTTGACAATCAATATAAGTTAAAACTTTAACCTCTTCAGTACTATCTTCATTCAGCATATTTAATTTTTCTAGTGAAAACTGAAAATCAAAGTACTCTATTTTAAGAATTTCAACTGAGGACATAGACAAATTAAGTCCAAGAATATGGTAGCCTTAGAATACTAACAGTAAAAAGGCATGTCTATTTCAAACACACAAATGACTGGTTCATAATCAATTCATATATAGGGTAATGGTTCAACCAACACAGATTTTATTATTAGAAGTAAACAGCTATACCTCCTTTGTGTATCCTGACAGGCCAATAAGTTGTGAATCACGTATTGATCTGTATAAATCTACTAGGACTATAGGTCTCTGCAGATGGACAGTGCAAACATTGATCAGGAAAAAAGATGAAGAACTTTTCTATACAAACATACACAAATAGGTAGATGATTAAGAGTGATATTGTTGCAATAATAAAATAAATAATCAAAATAAGAAATGATTAGGGAAAGACCAGAATCGTAGAACTTTAAGGGAATCTTCGGTACTTTCTAATTAACATATACAGTAATATCTAAAAGGATTACATTCTAGACAGGATGACTCACCTCCAGCACACTATCAATTTCATTTTGAATCCTCCAATTCAAAGAATCTACAATCTATAGAAACAAACATATTTTGTAAGCAAGAACATACAGTAATTAAGTTCAGTGATCACTTCACCCACTGTTGAGAAAATTGTATGAAATGTTACCATTTTATGAGCCTTTGATACATTCCACTCTCTAGCCTTAAGGAAACGCGCCAGTGTTTCTTTGGGATAGCCCTGGTGCATATTCTGAAATAAATGAAGATATGCTCATATTGTTTCTCAGAATCACTCAACAAGTTACAGATTAAGTTGATGAACAAATAATCATGTATTACATCTAACAACACTGAAGCAAAGGTAGCAATAAAACAACAACAACATAACTACATGTAAATCTAGTACACCAGTCTGTCTAGTTTTGACCCCCCGCCCCACCCCACACAGTACCCAATGCAATTTGCAGAATCACGATCACCCTATGCAAAAAGACATGGACGAGGATAGCAGAGGAACTACAATTACTGCAGAGTTTTCACTTATCTAAAAACTCAGAATTCGCACCAACCAATGCAATTAACAAATAATTATGGCTTCCTCTGCTTCATTGGATTGCACTGATGGATCTAGCTATCACAACAATCTCCTAATTTAGTGGTCAAAAGAATAATAGCACACCTTTGGTCTAATCTGAAAGTGAATATAAGTGCTGCTGCTAGCTAAATATAATATGGAACTGTATTGCATTTAATTATATCTTTATAATATGGAAACTGCATGAGAGAGTTTAAGTATTCAAGCTCAGAGTAATTTCTTAGTGCACTTAGACATTCCACTTGAAATGAAAACTAAGATGAAAATTGCTTTGATTGTGAAAAACATAGCGACATAATTAGTGCATCTTTTGGACAATAAACTCACCCGAAAATTTCTAGGGAAACCATTTCTTCCTTAGGAGTTTCAAGAATCTGGGGAAGGGTGTTAGTGGCAAGCCATGTACAAGAATGCCAGACCAAACCACTAATCAAAACAAGAATGCCATGTACAAGAATTTGCTGAACTAGTCAAAATGACATCATTTCACCTGAAGAAACCGAGGAAACTGAAACTGAGTGCAAACTGAGTGCTTCTGAATCTGATGATGAGCTATTTAACTGAAGAAAAAATATGCAGCAGTACTGATAAGACAGTGGTCTATACTAGATTGTAACGCTGGTATTTTGTACCAGTTCTTAGGATTTTCAGAGTCATACCTTATAACTAATCATTGCATTACTCAAACAATTGCAAATAAGACTCTTGACTAATTATAATTAACCTCGCCTTGCAAACAGACATTTCAAGGGAGACTGCAATATGTCCAATTACTACATGTACATAGCAAGATAAACTATTGAAAAACTTCATATAAAATCAACTACCCAGATCCCAACAAATTCTAAAAAAAGGTTTGACTTTTGGACCCTCCACTGGCATACCATGTTATATAGCACCGGCAATATTTCAAAAAATCCATTCTGCATTCAATCTTCAGCATAATTCCTGCAAATAGACATTTGCAAAACACAAAGCACATCTAACAGAGAGTGCACATCTGTTGGAGCAAAACTACATACTAAAGAGGGCGTATTTGACGGTAGATCGAATATCTCACCTTGGAGTTGGATTCATTCCAAGATCACAGCCGCCAAGATCTCCGATGCTGGTCACGGCCGCCACAGCAGCACGCTCAAACCGACGAGAAAGGATCAAGAACATGCAGCTAGAATTGTTCCTCGTTCAAGAACATGGGAGGAATTGTCCGTACCTGGGTCGGTCGCCGATGGTGGAGAATCCAAGCCTGCGGAAGGAGGAGCCGACACCCCAGATCGGATGGGGATGTGGCGGCGGCACCGCTTTTTGCTGGCCGGCGGTGGGCTAGGGCGACGGCGGGCTTGGGGACGGCGGGCTTGGGAGGTGGCGGGCTTGGGGGCGGCGGGCTTGGGAGGCGGCGGGCTAGGGCGACGGGGGGCTAGGGACTAGGGTGGCGGCGTCGTTGGATTCGGCAATGGGGGCCTGGGGAGGGGGGGCTGCGGGGCTCCAGCCAGGGAGTTCGGCTACGGCAGGATTGGGAGACGACGGCAGTGGCTACTGACGGCGCCTAGCCCGCGGAGCCCTCCTGCGGCGCCTGGCGGAGGAGCCCTCCTGGTGGCGCGCCGAGTCGGGATCTGCTGGTGGCCGGCGGCGTCGGTCTCTGCTGGCTGTCGGGTTTTTTCCCCGAGTCGCATGAGTAGGAGAGACGAATGGGGATGGGTTCTGAGGCAGCCTGTTTTAGTGGGCTCAACATTTAGCATCTCTTTTGGCGCGCGGTGTCCCGCCCAACAATGTCATCTTATTTGCTTCGGCGCATAGCCTTCGACGACACTTTGATAGTGGTTTGTTTAGGCTACAACGACAGTTTGTTTGTCTTAAAACTTTTGCCGACACTTTTTAGGTTGGAAGGACAAACGCCGACACATAATGTGTAGCCTTGCACTATTATTGGCGACAGTTAAGGTGACCCTAAAAAAGGTATATCATTGCCGACACTTTATGTGTTGTCAAAAGGCTAGTTTTACCAACACATAATTGTAGGGAAAAGTAGGTTATGGTGTAGTGAGTTGGGGACATACAATTTGAGATAGAGGGGCGAAGTTATCAGGTTGGTCTGGTAGTTTTACCGGGGCTGGGTATCGATGTGATATTGGGAATGAATTGGATGAGCAGGCACGGGGTGCTTATTGATATATCGACTAGAGTAGTCATGCTCAGAGATCCTAGTAATCAGGAAGGTTTTCTGGTGCAACTACCCAGGGACATCAATCTTTCTTGTGCGGCTAATGCGGTGCAAGCAAAGGCTATTGCAGATATCCCTGTAGTGTGTGACTTTCCGGATGTTTTTCCCGATGATTTGCCTGGATTGCCCCCGGATCGGGAAGTGGAGTTCAAGATAGAGTTGCTTCCTGGCACAGCTCCTATCTCTAGAAGGCCATATAGAATGCCTCCCAATGAACTAGCTGAACTTAAGGCCCAGTTGAATGAACTTCTAAAGAAAGGCCTTATCTGTCCTAGTTCATCTCCGTGGGGGTGCCCAGCTATCTTTGTGAAGAAGAAGGATCAATCTCTACGCATGTGTGTAGATTATAGACCCTTGAATGCCGTAACAATCAAGAATAAGTACCCTCTGCCACGCATAGATATCTTATTTGATCAGTTGTCCAAAGCAAAAGTCTTTTCCAAGATTGATTTGAGATCTGGGTATCATCAAATCAAGATTCGGCCTGAGGATGTCCCAAAAACCACATTCTCTACGAGGTATGGTCTGTATGAGTACCTGGTTATGTCTTTTGGATTGACCAACGCCCCCGCACATTTTATGTATCTGATGAATTCGGTGTTTATGCCCGAGTTGGACAAATTTGTGGTGGTATTTATAGATGATATCCTGGTCTATTCTGAGAATGAAGAAGATCATGTTGAACATTTACGGGTGGTTCTCACTAGATTGCGAGAACACCAGCTGTATGCAAAGTTCAGCAAATGTGAATTTTGGCTTCGCGAGGTACCTTTTCTTGGACACGTATTGTCAGATGGTGGAATTATGGTTGATCCCACCAAGGTGCAAGAAGTGTTGAACTAGAAGGCTCCAATCTCGGTGCATGAGGTTCGGAGTTTTTTGAGGTTGGTTGGCTATTATCGTCGCTTCATCCCGGATTTCTCTAAAATAGCCAAGCCTATGACTCGATTGCTGCAAAAAGACATGAAGTTTGTCTGGACTCCTGAGTGTGATGCGGCTTTCCATACCCTGCGAACTCTTCTAACTTCAGCTCCGGTTTTGGCACAACCGGATATCAAGAAACCGTTTGATGTGTTCTGTGATGCATCAGGTATTGGGTTAGGATGTGTTCTTATGCAAGAGGGTAAAGTCATTGCTTATACCTCTCGCCAACTTCGAAAGCATGAAGTGAATTATCCAACACATGACTTAGAACTCGCTGCAGTTGTTCATGCTTTGAAGGCCTGGAGACATTATTTACTTGGCAATGTGTGCAACATCTACACTGATCATAAAAGTCTCAAGTACATCTTCACTCAACCTGAGTTGAATATGCGTCAGAGAAGATGGCTCGAGTTGATCAAGGATTATAACCTCCAAGTGCACTATCACCCTGGCAAGGCAAATGTCGTAGCGGATGCCTTAAGCAGGAAGTCTCATTGCCACTCTTTGATTGAGAGTGATGTCCATTTGTCGAAGCTCCTTCATCCTGCAGTCCTTCACAACATCACTGTCAGTTGTACTCTACAGAGTCGAATTATCGAGCTACAGAAGACAGATGCAGGTGTGTTTCACATCAAGCGTAAGATGAAAGAGCAAGAGACCAAACATTTTCGAGTAGATGAGGAAGGCGTGTTATGGTTCAAGGATAGGTTGGTAGTTCCGAAGGATAGAGAGCTTAGAAATCAAATCATATCCGAAGCTCATTCCTCTAAATTATCTATTCATCCTGGTAGTAGCAAAATGTATCATGATTTGAAGCCTCGATTTTGGTGGACCAAAATGAAGAAGGAGATAGCCGCTTATGTGGCTAGGTGTGACACTTGTTGTCGAGTCAAGGCTGTGCACATGAAAGCTGGATTACTTCAGCCACTCTCTATTCTAGGTTGGAAATGGGAGGAGATAAGTATGGATTTTATTGTTGGACTCCCTCCTACTCAGAGGAACTTTAACTCTATTTGGGTGATTGTAGACCGTCTGACCAAGTCAGCACACTTCATTCCTGTCCGTATAGACTTTCGTCCAACCGACTATGCGGAGTTGTACTTCAACCAGATAGTCTGACTTCATGGGATCCCTCATACTATTGTCTCGGATAGAGGACCACAGTTCACTGCTCGCTTTTGGGAGCACTTACACGGATTATTAGGAACTAAGTTAGTAAGAAGTTCTGCTTATCATCCGCAAACCAATGGGCAAACTGAACGAGTGAATCAAATCTTAGAAGATATGTTGAGAGCATGTGTCATCTCGGCTAAGGGCTCATGGGAAAAATGGTTGCCCCTAGCTGAATTCTCGTACAATAACAGTTATCAAGAGAGTATCAAGATGGCACCGTTTGAAGCTTTGTATGGCCGGAAGTGTAGAACTCCGTTGAACTGGGTAGAAGCCGGTGAAAGGAGATATTATGAAATTGATTTTGTTCAAGAAGCCGAAGAACAAGTCCGTACTATCCAAACCCACATGGCCGTAGCTCAAGCTAGGTAGAAAAGTTATGCTGATCGACGTAGAAAACCTATTGAGTTCGAAGTTGGACACTTCGTTTATCTGAAAGTCTCACCTATGAAAAGTGTCCAACGCTTTGGTGTTAAGCGAAAGCTTGCGCCGAGATATGTTGGTCCGTTTGAAATCATTGGACAAAGTGGTAAGGTGGCGTACAAGATTCAATTACCACCAGAGATGAGTGCTATCTTCAATGTCTTTCATGTATCCCAATTGAAGAAATGTCTTCGCTTCCCTGAAGAGAGAGTTCCATTGGGGGATATCGAGTTAAAATCTGATTTGACCTTTGAAGAAAAGCCGGTTCGAGTGATTGACACTCGTGAGTGAGTGACTCGGAGTCGGGTGGTCAAGTTTTACAAAGTCATGTGGAGTAATCAGGGTAGTGAACGCGATGCAACGTGGGAAAGGGAAGATTATTTGAGGGATGGTTATAAGGAATTCTATCAACAATTGTACGCTTTTCAAATCTCGGGATGAGATTTTTATAAGGGGGGGCTGTAACACCCCAGGTGTTTGGCTTCCACATTTGCACTGCATTTCATGAACATGAGCATCATGCATCCATTCGTGAACTTATATCACATGAAACATGATTTCGAAACATTGCAACATGTTGTATATTTCATGTGTATTGTTTCTATTATCAAATGTAAAGTGTGCAACACTTAAGTGCAACATGTGCCACTCACTTAGTGAAACAAGGTTAGTTAGTACTATGCAACGCACTCATGAAACATATGAAACATGGCCTTGAAACAAAAATAACACTTCACTTGTTCTTCCATGTTTCAATGCCTGTGATGCTTGGTTCTTGTGTGACCAATGTATGGTGTGGCTAATTATTCTCCTAAGAACCTTAGTTATACTTAGAATGTCATTTGGAACATTGTTCATGTTGATCATTTTGCCTAATTAGGTTTCCAAGTCATGGTTGACCAATTTGGACCCCTAGAGCTCCTGTGTTTGACTGTT